ATAATGATGATGATGATGATGCTGGTGGTTCTGATGATGATGATGATGCTGACTGTGATTATGCTGCTGCTGCTGCAGATGATGATGACGATGCTGATGACGATGCTGATGACGACGATGACGATGCTGCTGCAGATGATGCTGATGCTGATGGTGATGCTGATTGTGATGTTGGATGATGATGCTAATCATGGGGATGGGGATGGGGATGGTGATGATGCTGATGATGATGAGGGCGATGACGATGGTGTTGATGATGACGACGACGACGATGATGATGATGATGATGATGATAGTTCTTCTGATGATGATGCTGCTGTTGATGATGATGCTTCTGATGATGCTGATGATGATGATGATGACGGTGGTGCTGCTGATGATTATGATGATGATGCTGATGGTGATGATGACGATGACGATGGTGATGATGATGCCGATGATGATGATGATGATGATGATGATGATGATGATGATGGTGACGCTGATGAGGATGATGATGCTGATGGTGATGCTGAGGATGTGCTGATGAGATCTGAGGATGATGATGCTGATGATGCTGATAGTGGTGGCGGTGATGGAAATGCTGATGCAGACGATGCTGCTGCCATTGCTGATGATGACGATGATGATGAAGATCATGATGATGATTACGATGCTAATAATGATGATGATGATGATGATGATGATGATGATGATGATGATGATGATGATGATGATGATGATGATGATCATGATGATGATGATGCTGGTGCTGGTGCTGGTGCTGGTGCTGATGATGATGCTGATGCTGATGATGCTGATGAGGATGATGGTAATGTTCATAATAATGCTGATGCCGATGATGCTGATGATGATGATGATGATGATGATGATGATGATGATGATGATGATGATGATGATGATGATGTTGATGTTGATGTTGATGATGATGATGATGACGGTGATGCCGCTGACGCTGCTGATGATGATGATGATGGTGGTGACGATGGTGATGATGATGCTGATGATGCTGATGCTGCTGATGATGATGGTGGTGGTGGTGATGATGATGATTATGGTGATGGTGATGATGATGATCATCATGCTGATGGCGGTGGTGATGATGACACTGCTGAGTTTGATGATGATGGTGATGGTGGTGGTGGTGATGATCATGCTGCTGCTGATGATCATGCTGCTGCTGATACTGATGATGATGATGCTGATGATGCTGAGGCTGATCATGATGATGATGCTGACGATGCAGATGATGATGAAGATCATGATGATGATGATGATGAGGATGATGGTGATGTCGAGATGATGATGATGATGATGATGATGATGATGATGATGATGATGATGATGATGATGGTGCTATGATGATGATGATGCTGATGATGATAATGATGATGCTGATGAGGAGGAGGATGAGGAGGAGGATGAGGATGAGGATGAGGAGGATGAGAAGGAGGAGGAGGAAGGAGGAGGAGGAGGAGAAGGAGGAGGAGGACGATGATGATGATGACGACGATGATGATGATGATGATTGATGATGATGAGGAGGATGATGAGGATGATGATGATGATGGATGATGATGATGATGATGATGATGATGATGATGATGATGATGATGATGATGATGATGATGCTGATGATGCTGATGATGATGATGGTGATGATGATGATGATGATGATGATGATGATGATGATGATGATGATGATGATGATGATGCGGAGGAGGAGAAGGGTGCGGAGGATGTGGATGAGTAGGAGGAGGAGGAGAAGAAGGAGAAGGCAAAGCGTGAGGCAGAGAGGTCTCACCCCCATTCCTCCTTGCATTGCTTCGTGCTCTTGTCAGGAAGCCTCCTCTCCCCCCTCTGCGCACCCCATGCCCCCCTCTATGCATCTTCCTGCGCCTCCTCCTCTGGTTCCTCCTCATGGCTCCTTCTCCCATCCCCCATCCTCCTTCCCCTCCTCTCTCTGCCTCCCCCCGCCGACGGGAGAGTTTATCGACGGCAGCTGAAAATATCCCACAGACCAGGGGAAGTGATGTGGACAAACAATCTCCACGAGGAGGTGCCCAACACCGGGGATTCGGAGTCCGTCAACGAGTTCCCCGTGCTCGGGACCAGCAAGGCCAAGGCTCCGGAGGTGCAGAGCAGGTGCGAGCCAGGCAGCGCCCGACCCCAACACGTGTTATTCCCTCGTGTATTACAATCAAGCGCTTCAGCGATGCCCCCAGGGGCTTCTGACCATCTGTACTTCCACCAGGGTGGCTCCAGTGGAGTCCCAGAATTGCTCGAACGCTGAAACCTGAACCGATAGAAGGGAACTGACACCTGACAGGTATTCGGAGGTATGCGCCAAAGGTGTACGTATATTTCTTGTTGTGCGTGTCTGTTTGCCAGTGGCGTTGCTTTTTGCAGTAGTGACGCGTTTAGTGGCGAGTTCGCGCCGTCACTGCGAACCCGACAGGCTTCGGCGTGATGGACGTGCCAGGCAGGAAGTGGGTGCTAGGCGACGCTCCTTTTTCTGCTCTCAGGGCGTGACGGACTGCTGCTGGCTTCTTGCATTATAACCGTCGGAAGTCAATCGCAACTGCTGCTGCCGCGATTATCATTGCAAGTCGCAATCGCGACCACCACAACAGCCCAACCCAGCATCATCACTATGGTAGAAGCAACGCAAGCGGCAAATAACAGATGGACGCAACACATCTCTGTGCAAGCTAACCCGAGTAATGAGCAGACCCGCCTGTCCTCGCATGTTGACCCCAAGGTACGCAGACCCCAAGGCAAAGGGACGTGACACAGGCGGTACGTAACAACGAATGTTCAATTGAACGAACGATGCGAGTGACACACAACAAGAAGGTGCGATGGAAAGGGACCTCATATCATCGCTCTTACTCCAGCGCCTCATCGCCGTTCCCATCGTCGTCGACGTCACCGTTGTCCTCGTCGCCATCGCCGTCGTCGTCGTCGTCGTCGTCGCCGTCGCCGTCATCGTCGCCGTCGCCTCTGTTGGCTTTGTCGTCGCCGTGGCCGTCATAATCGGTGTCGCCATCATCGTCGTCGTCGTCGTCGTCGTCGTCGCCGTCGCCGTCGCCGTCGCCATCATCGTCATCCGTCGTCATCCGTCGTCATCCGTCGTCGGCGTCATCGTCGTCGTCGTCGCCGTCGCCGTCGCCGTCGCCGTCGCGGCCGCCGCCGCCGCCGCCGCCGCCGCCGCCGCCGTCGTCGTCGTCGTCGTCGTCGTCGTCGTCGTCGTCGTCGTCGTCGTCGTCGTCGGCGTCGGCGTCGCCATCACCATCGTCGTAAATGCCTCGTCGGCTCCTTGTCGTTGCCGTCGTCGCCGCCGTCGCCGCTGCCGCCACCGTCGTCACTGTCGTTATTGCCGTCCTCGCCGTCGTCGTCGTCGTCGTCGTCGTTGTTGCTGCCGTCCTGCGCCGTCGCCGCTGTCGTCGTCGTCGTCGGCGTCGTTGCTGCCGTCGTCGCACATCCGTCCTTATGGAATTGTGTTCGTCAACTGCGAAAGAGCGCGTTCAGTAGTCGCTCGAGGGTGGGGGGAGGTTTAAACTGGGGGGCTTCCCCCACACAACCTGGACGTCCAGAAACCAGCGGTCAAACGGGTGGGTGGGTCGAACCCCTTTCTTCCCCCCTTCCCTCCCCCCATCCCCCCGTTCGCCCGCGTCAACATCATCTTCCTTCCCCGTATCCATTTCCATCCTCTTTTCCAACCTGCTTCCTTTCCTGCCCCCGACCATTGGCATCCCTACCAGCCAGGGTCCTTGAGAACGGGCCCAGCGGGTGGCGTGTAGGTCTAGACGTTTCGCGAACTATCACCAGCCCATCCAGAAACCATTCTCAGGCGCATTGCCTGGATAAGCAATGTAAATGAGCACGCCGTGGAATAAAGGCTGGGAAGCTGGCATACTCCAAGAGGGGGGGAAGGAGGACGCGGAGGAGGAGGAGGAGGAAGAAACGGCAGAAGAGAAACACCATGAAGTTTAATCATAATAATATTAACAATAATACTGCTACTAACCAGTATACTAGTATTTCGAAGACGACTAATACTGAGAGTACGAACAATCATGATGATCAGAAGACGACGACGCATACTTTTTCGACGGGGAATAGTACGATTGCTACTGTTGAGAACATTGCGACGGCTAATAATGACACGACCACTCTCGATCATACTACTACTAAGCATATCCGTAACACTTAGTATCATTCCTTTCGAATGACAAGGAGCGAATTACACTACCAATACTAGCAATACTATTAACAACCGTATTACGACTGGTAACACTATTGCTAACAATACGAACGCTAGCTGTATCACTGCTATTTCATATACGTTCATTAATTGCAACACTAGCAATCGTTAGACTAATACGTTTTTTTGTTAACAACGAGAAGGGACATACTACTGATGCGAATCATATGAAGACGCGTCAAAAGAGTAATACTAATAAGACGAGGAGGAGAAGGAGGAGGAGGAGCAGGAGGAGGGGGAGGGGGATGGAAACGGGGAGGGGGGAGGAGGGAAAAGGCAGGAGGGCGCAGGAGGATTAGGCGGATGAGGATGAGGAGGAAGAGGCGGATGAGGAAGATGAGGAGGAGGGGGAGGAGGAGGAGGACCAGGAGGAGGAAGAAGAGTAGGAGGAGGCGGAGGCGGAGGCGGAGGAGGAGGAGGAGGCGGATGAGGAGGAGGAGGAGGAGGCGGAGGCGGAGGCGAAGGAGGATGAGGAGGATGAGGAGGGCGAGGGGGAGGAAGATGATGACGATGAGGAGGAGGAGGAGGAGCAGAAAGGCCAGAAGGGGCCTCTTGGATGCTTCTCGGGGTCTCGCCGGATGTCTTTTGGGAGCTTCTTGTAGGCCTCTTGAAGCGTTGTTGGGGCCTCTGGGCGGCCCCCAGGGCCTCTTGACGCGTATTGGGTGCCCAGGGAGGGCGTCTTGGGGTCTGTTGGGGGTCTCTTGGGCGCCTCCTGGTGACCTCTGAGGGGCCTCTTGGGGCCGCTTGGGCGCCTCTGGGGGCCCTTTTTGGCCACTTTTGGGAGCCTCGGGGGCCATCCCGGGACCATGTTGGAGGAGTTCGATCAACGAAGGGGGTGGTGCCTCCTTCCCAGGAGGCCAACATTGGCCCAGCACCTAGGACAATCAATGCTTAGTGCCTTCTCGTCGAGGCCTTCTTAGACGCTCCAATCGGTCGCGGAAGCTCCCTTCCAGGTCCAGGGTGGGGGGTATGAGGGAGGGTGAACCCCCTCCAGAAGGGGAGGAGTGAAGATGGAAGAGGAACCGCTCAAACCACTCACGCCCTACAAGGCTGGTGCGATTAGTTGTTTCGTGGTTTACATTTCATCCCGCCACCGTGCCTGGGTAGTGGGTCAAAAACCAAGCATATGGCTCTTGGGCCCTTTTGGGAGCCATTGTGTGGGCCTCATAGTGACCTCGTCGGGGCATCTTGGAGGCCTCTTGGGGCTGTCTGGGGGTTTCTTGGGGGTCTTCAGGGTGCCCGCTGGCTGTCTCGGGGATCATCTTTGAGGCGGAGGTCTCCAAATGTCGGTTCGAGTTCTCCCTCTTGGGCCCCTCTTAGGGCTGTCTCGGGGTCCTCTTGGGTCCTTCTTGTGGGCCTGAAAGCTGTTCTGGAGCGATTTTTGGAGCCTCCTTGGGCCGTCTTCGATGGTCGTCCGAACATGCGAAGGTGCAAAGACACGCTTGAGTTCGTTTCAGTGATTCCTGCCTCTGGAACCAGCCCTCAAGGCCTTCAAGATGGCCCAGACGACAATCAAGAGAGTCTCCAAAGTCACACGGGGACTCCCACAAGCGCCCAAGAATTCAGTGGATCCAGGATCTGGGCCTCTAAACTAATACATTGTTAGTGTTCAAGCCAAAGAAACCGAAAAGGCTTGAAAACACTCCAGACCGTACCTCGGGGCACTGAGGTGGATAATGCGGTATCGCATTGGGGCAGGCGTGTGTGTTTTTCCATCACGGGCACCTGAACTTGCTCCTGTAACGACGGGGCAGTATGATTCGATGCCAAGGGAGGATGACGAGAAGGAGGAAGAGGATTAAGAGGAGGGGGAATGAGGTGAGGGAGGCGAGGGAAGAGACTGGGGATGATGAGGCGGAAGAGGATGCTGATGACAACGCAGGTGTTAATGCCGATGATGATGGGGATGCGGTTGTTGCTCATAATGATAATGATATTGATGTTGCTGTTGCTGCTGATGATGATGGCGGTGGCGGTGGTGGTGGTGGTAGTGATGTTGATTCTGGTGGTGGTGGTGAAGGTGCTGCTGATGATGACTGTGATGATGACGGCAGTGGCGATGCTGGTGAGGGTGATGGTACCGGTGATGTTGGCGATTATGATGTTGATGGCATTGATAGTGACAGTGATTGTAAGATCGACGATGGTACCAATTATGGTGAGAGTGATGATGGTGGTGATGTTGATGATGGCGCTGCCACTAGTGATGCTGATGACGATGCTGAGGAGGGTGATGATGACGATGACGATGCAGATGCCGATGATGATAATGATGATGATGGTGATGATGACGATGATGACGCGATGACGATGACGATGCTGATGACGACGATGATGATGCTGGTGCTGACGGTGAGCATGACACAGCTGACGGCGATGGTGAAGCTGAACATGATGATTTTTCGGCTGATCACGATGCTGCAGATGGTGATTCGGATGCCAAGGAGAGTGATCGCGATGACGATGGCGATGCCGAGAATAATGCGACATATGAGGATGACGCGCGTGGTGATTGTGCTGCAGATGATGATGACAATTTTGAGGATGACTACTGATGATGGTGATGCTGATGCTGATGCTGCTGATGACGATGATGATGACGGTGGTGGTGGTGATGATGATGAGGATATGATGATGATGATGATGATGATGATGATGATGATGATGATGATGAGGATTATGATGATGGCGACGATGCTGATTAGGCTTACGATGCTGATGGCGGTGGTGATGAATGATGCTGATGATGATGACGATGATGCTGATGTTGATGATGTTGATGATGCAACTGCTGATGCTGATGCTGGTGCTGCTGCCGATTATGCTGTTGTTGATGCTGGTGCTGATGATGATGATGGTAATGATGATGACTAGCTGATTATGTTGATGATGCTGCTGATGGTGTGCCGGTGGTGGTGGTGATGTTGATGATGATGATGTTGATGATGATGATGATGATGATGATGACGATGATGATGATGATGATGTTGATGATGCTGATGATGATGCTAGTGATGCTGACCATGTTGATGCTGATGATGCTGATGATGCTGATGCTGATAGTGATGATGAGGATGCTGCTGCTGCTGCTGTTGTTGATGATGATGCTGCTGATGATGATGACGATGAGGAAAATCTAATGCTGGTGATGATGATGCTGATGATGATGATGATGATTGTGATTGATGCTGATGATGCTTATGCTGATGCTGATGCTGATGATGATGACGATA